CGGCCATGCCGCAGGAGGTGACCATTTTGCGGGCATTGGGGTGATATTTGCCGTAGTTAGGGTTTTTCTGGTACTCGCACAGGCATGCCATGCTTCCTGCGCTCGCAGGTTGGAGCAGCACGCCGCCGTGGGTTTTGCCCCTTGGATGACCGCCGCCTTGCAACTCGCTAGCACCGCGATGTTGCAGTTCGCTGATGCCCTGCCTGCGCTCGTCGCCACTACCACGGCCAGGGCCAGGGCCACCAGCATCGCCACCGCCTTCGCCATGTTATATTGAGATGTGTGGGCTGTGGTGCAAGGGAATGAATTGAAGCGCCCTCTAGCTTGGTATTTATATACAAGAGTTGACATACCAAATTTTAAAAGTAGTGTGGAAAGCACGATTCACTCTCTTCTACTATATTATTAGAAGAAAGTTTACTTTAATCTATATCCCTATATCTATAAGACTATAATATCTAACAGATTATCATATTATATAACATTATATTTTATATATTATTAAATATTAAAGTATGGAAATTTCTCTCCTTCGTCAGTCTCTCTCACTCCCACCACTCTTCCAACTGACCCATTCCGTGCGGCAGGAATATGAGGCCTAGCAGGAGCACCCTATAATGGAGCTACAATATCCGTTCACTTTAATCTATATTTATACATAATGTCTATATCTATATCTATATACTATCTAATATTAAATGGAGAAAAATTCTCTTATTCGTCCCTCAGTTTGTCACTCTACTTCTCCATCCATCTCCCACTTCTATCCTTCTTGGTCTGTCACTCTCTTCCCCATCTATCCCTCCAACACAACATTGGTTATAGTTTGGAGCTACAATAGCATCACTCATCTATGGCCTATCTCTCTCTATATATATATCTCTTCTCTATCTCTTTTTTAGATAATGAACTCTTCTCTATCTCTACCTCTTCTCTTCTCTATCTCTACAACTAAAATGCATCAAATATCAAAGTCTACCTGGCAGAACCATAGCCTCAAATATAAATTTGTCCGGCAGACCAAAACTGCGATGGTTCTGTCAATCATTGTGGCCTCTTCAAATTGAATCTCTCTCTCTCTCTCTCTCTCTCTCTCTCTCTCTCTCTCTCTCTCTCTCTCTCTCTGCACGCGCACGTGCCCGCCCTCTTCCGTGCTCGCGCCCAAGCCGGCCGCTGCCACCCCCCCCCCCAGGTCGGAAGCCGCACCCACAGCTCCTCCCCCGGATTGGACTGTGACAGCTAGCAAAAAGGAAAAATGATTTCAAATTTTGGTTCCATGCGTTGTGTGCTCCTAAATCCAATCATGCATTGATCATCCAAAATATAGCAATCATAAAAAAACATATTAGTTGTAGTAGATTTTAACAAAAAAATGAGTTTTGTTTAAAAAACATATTAGTTTCATTATCCACTTAATCTCTAATGAGATTAGTGCAGTTTACTTATGTGCCTGAATATCTGCAAAATTGGTCTGCTGAGACTAGATAAGCATAAGACAATTGTTGCTGGTGGTCATAGGCTCTAGGACAAGTGAGTACTCTGTACCTAAACATAAATAATTCATGGTCTGATTTTTTCTACCAAAGCTTAGTCAAATTCAGTAAATTTGGTTGTTGAGTGCCAAACAAGCTTCATTGAGTTGTGAGATCAATATGTCCATGTCTCAGCGAAAAACTGCCCAACAGTATCTAACAAATATATGGGGATGTGAAAGACTCGAAGTTGTAGAAATCCCAACAAATTTCTGACAAAACAATGCTCAAATAGATATGTGGATCAATAAAAGGACAATAGAAATTATGTCCATTACAGACTATAGGGCATGACTCTATACAAGTATCTTTAGTTTTGCATATTGTCTACATAGGCATGCAAGTGCAAGTCCTCTGGTATTTGTTCCTAGATCTGTTCTACTAATAATCACTAATCTATTCCTTGTACCCGCTAATCTCATAGGCATTCTCGTGGTATTATCAAAGTCCACCACATACCCAAGAAAATTTCCATATGAGTACTATGCTTCAGAGTTCATACCAATTCTAATTTTTTTTTCTACTTGCAACACGTGAAATTTATCTTTTTGAGAGAAAATCAGGACGGATTGCATCCCTACTGAGCTTTTATTGGAATGATCATTTCAGAATTTGACTTTTGTAATACCCATTCATCTCCTCGCATGTATGTACAACACATGTACGATCTATTTGTTTTGTTGGTTGTTATAATTTCTATAATGTTGTTGATATTATTTTTTTGATTTTATATTTTACTTTGCACAGGATGGCCAAAACGATGTGAAATGACTTTGTGATCTAGAAATTGGTTTAATTTACGAAGAAAAATTTTCTAGAAGTTTTTAGTTCCTAAAGGATTGCAAGATTATGTTAGATGTGTCATAGACAAGAAGTGGCAAAACAGCTAGATAGTCGTAGTGAACTAGGTTCTTTACGTATGAACTTGATTGCTTCTTTTTCACATCAAAACTTGAGTTATATTTTAATTGTCTATCCTTCATCAAGACTTATATAATATTGATGTTTTGAACATCACGCTCATTGTCTTATTTTTTGGATAGCAGTACACAACATACGGTTATACTCAAATTATGGGGACATTATATATTTTCCCCATTGCAAAGCATGTCCATTTAACTAGTACTATGTATATATGCCATGTATGCACTATATGAATGAGACATCCAATGCATAAATGCTACATCACATGATGATTATACATAATCAAGGCTTTAGCAAGTAACACCTAGGGTATTACAATAATCATGATTTACTTGTGTTGTGTCACATGTGTTGTCACCTTAAGAAAGCTTATGCAAAGTCACTTAAACATTATCACTATGTGACTACTTAAGTTCAAAATAGCATGTCATGTACATAATGAATGATAAATGCTAATGTTTATGAGATGCATATTATCTTTAGCATCCGCAAAAAATTAATATTGTTTTGAACTCTTTTGGATCTAATTTCACATCAAAACCTAATTTTGAGGTATCATATCAATATTTATGATATCAAATAATAAGTATAATTTTTAGTTTTGTCATGAGATATATTTTCATAGTATATATATTTGATATCATAAAGTTAATATTTTTATCTATATATTTGGACAAATTTTAAATATTTTACTCAAAACGCATCTACATTTTTTTACCACGGTAGTAGTACCTCTAAAGGTAATTCTGCCGTGTGGTAGTAGTCTTGTCTTGCCAAAGGTAATCTGGCCATGGAGCCCCTCCGTCCTCGGACATGGCGCTCTCCTCCACCCCCTCTCGTCCCTGGCCATGGAGTCCCTTCTCTATGCCCCAGATCCGAAGTGTCATAGATTCCATGGCCGCCACCCGCAAGCTCCTTCTCCTGGTCGTCATCTTGGCGGTGTCCCTCGTTGTCGATGGGCCCCGTGCAGCTTTCGTCCCTCGTCACCACTTGAGGGCCCCCTTCCCGCTGGAGAACGCTTGATGCTTGAGTTTGTCATAGCATGGCTCGACTCCCGCTTGAGGAGAGCCCTCCACACATGTTGTTGCTCGACAACGCCCGCCATCGTCGCAACATCTCCATTGCATCGCTACCGACATCTTCGGTAGTGCTCCTCATACTTAGAGTCGTGCTTGCTGTGCGTGGAGCCAATCCGCAGAACGGCGGCGGACACCACGCCCGAGCTCAGAATTTCCGGCCAGCAACATCTCCGGCCAGCAGCATTGAGGAAGAAGAGGTAGTTGGAGTGGGCCCAAGCATATTGGGGGAGATCCAACTTCCCCTTGATTTGAGGGGAGATGGGTGTTTTTGGGTGACAAAAAAAGGAGGGCTATTTGGGGACTGTTGGAGCAAAAAAATAGTCTATCTCCCAAATGACTATTTTATGTGGATAAGAGGTGGGAGGGAATGTTGGAGATGCTTTGACAGGCTAGGCTGACCATGTGAGATTTGTATATGAAGAAAATGTTTCCAACTCTTCAGTGGCTTGTTTTATTTGGGTACGAATGAATTAAGCATGTTGGGCCTATATCTTGGGCTACCTTTTTTTAGGGCCGGGAGAATTTGTTGTCCATGCTACTAAGTATACTGGACATGACGGTATAGACTAACAATGTTGCCTAAATGGCCGTCGGCTCGTTTGAACACGATTTTAATTCCAATACCGTAATCCGGGATATAGGTGGGTGACCTACTGTTTGTCGTTTGGTGTGTTTAGATTTTATGTCAACACTAAATAAAGGCACATGTTTTTGCTAAAAATGTTTTATGAACATGATTGACTTCACGCGTCCTTCATTTTTGATTCACACACTCTCGTAAAGAATTAGGATGAAATGTATTGGAAGCGTGTGGCCACCTTGTCTTAGGCCCACCTGTCAAGGACGCATGTCAATCACAAAACGTAGACATGCCTGGGTAATATGCCTTGACAAGTATTTCATTAAGATAAACAGAATTACAAAACACCGCTACAAAGGAGCCCTCGTAAAGCAGGCTACAGACCACCAAGCCAGTGGCACAGAAGCAGCCTATAGAGAGAAAAAAAAAAAAAAGAGAGAAAAATAGCATTCAAGGAGGAGAACCCATAGCCCCAAAAACCTACTAGCCTGAGCATGCAGAAGAAAATATATCAACGTGCCTACAGAGCAGGCGAAGTCAATCACGTTTGAAGGTACACTGTAAGAGGAAATCCAACAAAGATTTGAAAATTTTAATAGCTTGAGATTTGAGAATATGCAAAGGAAACCCAACAGTTTTGGTAATTGGTACAGTAAGTGGGACTTGGGGAGTTGAATTAAAATTAATCATATTGGGCAGGGCCTGCACGCTGAAGCTGTGCACTTGTTGCAGCCAGCAGGGCAGAGAGGCAGCGGCAGCGGCGGCGACATCTGCATCTGCATCTGCATCTCTTCCCACATCGTCTCCCCCTCCCTCCCGCATCTGCCCTGCCTTGATCCCGCCGCCAGCCATCCAAGGGAGCGCGGGAGCCGGGAGCCGGGAGCCATGTCTCCCTCCGGCGAGCTGCTAGCCTCCATCTCCTCCGCCCTCGCCGTCGCCTTCGTCCTCCTCGCCTGCGTCGAGCTCGGCGACGCCGCCACCGCCGTCGGCGTCTACCGCCTCATCCAGTACGACCTCGCCGGCGCCCCGCTCGGCTCCCGCGCCGCGGTCATCAACCACCACGCCGCCGCGCTCCCGCTCCCCGCCGGCGCGGACCTCTCCCGCTCCGCCCTCGTCGCGCCGCTCCTCGACCTCCCGCTCTCCTTCCTCAGAGGTCAGCTCACTTCACTCTCCCTCCCCTCTACTACTACTACATCTTCTTAATTAAATTATGGATGGACCAGTAGTAGCTTACTACACTAGTAAGTAGATCTCTTGCTGCCTCCACGCCACACACTTTTCCTAGCTGCTATTATTGCCCTGTTCATCTCTCCCCTGTCGGATGGGTTTTGCGGTTACCATCTCCTCTTTTGATTCGTAATTGTCTGTACTAGCTTTTGCTCACTAGTTTTCACTATATATATGTCGCTTCATGCTGCTACTTTCAGGCTGGATCACGGCCGGCGGCATAGGCAATTAGGCACTCACGCACTGTGCTTGACCTCTTCACTTTTGTTTCTTCCTTTGGTCGATCTGACTTAGTTGCTACTCACTCTTTCCAAATTTGATGTGCCCATTTCACCTTATAACATCATAATCATAAAATATGAACTGTCAATGATATTTCTACTGCTGCCAAATCTTAAAGCACTAGTACTGCCACCTACCTCTGTTGATGAAAACTCTTACGATGCCTTCTCAGAGTACCTGGTGGAGAAAAAACATCTGGGGGGATTGCTCATTCTGCTCCCGACAAACCACGGTGATAAGGAAAGTGCGGATGACAAGGGGAAGGTCAAAGGTGTACTGACTGAGCTGGAGAAGTTGCTTGTGCATGAACAAGTTCCAGTAAGCCATAGTTTCTCTTTGATCTATAAGCAAATAGCTCAGTTCGACTCTGCATCTATCACACTAGTCATTCTGGACATCCTTCACTTTTTTGTAACGGCTCAGCAATGATATGTTACATAGCTCCACTGGTATAAACATATACCACAGCAGATAAATTGATTCCACAAAGCTATGATGCATCCAACTTCATTAATAATCTGCATGAAAATTGGCTTCATCAATTAACAGTCTAAGAATTGATTGCATTCAAGATCCTGAGATAATCTATGCCTATTCCCAATTGCTTGAGTAATCCACATCTACTTTTCTGTCTCATAGACGTTTTGGCTAAACTGTGTTCATTGCTTCATGCAGTATCCAGTGTACTTTGCTTTGCACGACGACAATTTTGATAACCTGCTGGCAGATATCCATAAAATTGCCTCTTCAGGTCAACCAGCCTCTGCAACAACAGGAGGGTAATACTCGTTAGAAATTGTGCATATTTTAAACTGGCCAGCCTTTTTTTTTGCACTTTGAACTCTAACCCAATTACGATGTATGGAAAATTTGAAACCGTCAGTCTCATGGTATTTTTCTTTTGACATTTTTTCTTTCAACTTGTAGTTACAAACTTGTTGTGTCCTCAGCAGAGCCTAGAAAAGTGTCATCTCCGACCATTTCTAATATCCAGGTAGCCTTTCTTCTAAAACCAATTTACTGTCAGTTAAAATGTGCTTTATTTCCTTAAGTTAACTTTTTGGGGTTTTCCCATTCAGAAGCAGCTAAATAAGTGTAAAGGCCTATAAGTGACTGTTCCAAACTTATGTTTGTGTTATCAAAACAAAACTGTTTCCCTTATTCCTTTTGAAAATCTGAATACACTGAAACTGAATCTTTTGAGTTGCAGGGATGGTTACCTGGATTGAAAGGAGAGGGTGATAGTGAACAGCTTCCGACTATTGCCATAGTTGCAAACTATGACACCTTCGGTGCTGCACCTGTATGTTTATCCAAAAAGTGTTCCCATAATGTTCCTTTAATGTTCTTCTAGATGTCTCCGATAACACGGATTTTCTCAGGCACTTTCTGTGGGAAGCGACAGCAATGGAAGTGGAGTTGTGGCTCTTCTAGAGATCGCAAGACTATTTTCACGTCTGTATTCAAATCCTAAGACAAGGGGCAAGTACAATATTCTCTTTGGGTTAACATCTGGCGGACCCTACAATTACAATGGAACTAGCAAGGTAAGTGCCCATTTGTTTGATTTAGCCACTAGGTCCTTTATGTCATCTGTGTAGGCAACTTACAGCTGTTTTTTCTAATGATGCAGTGGCTTAGGAGTTTTGATCAGCGTGTACGCGAGGGCATTGACTACGCAATTTGCTTGAACAGTGTTGGTTCCTGGAGCAATGACCTCTGGATGCATGTATCAAAGCCTCCAGAAAATCCCTATATCAAGCAAATCTTTGAAGTATGTTAATCATTTGAAGCTTGATGGTCCATAACCTTAGCTATTGCAAGGATAGTCATATTGATATCTGTGAATTTATTTGCTTTCAGGAATTTTCGGATGTCTCTAAAGAAATGGGTGTTTCAGTTGGAATCAAGCACAAGAAGATTAATGTCTCAAATCCTAGAGTATGTACTTCTTGATGTTTCAAGGAACATTTGAACAAAAAAAAACATATACAATAGGCATTAGATGACAACACCCTTTTTGAATACATATACAATAGCCATCTGTGTAGAACTAGTGACTAAACCTATACATCAAGTATGTGGAATAAAACATATGTTTCTTATGTTCCTCTTATCCACCTGTCCGTTGACGGTAGAATTTTAGTAAACTTTGCATTTTGATGGACATCACTATCTACACCACTGTTATTGTATCTTGCATCACACTGCCATCTTCACTACATAGTGCATCTGTATACTAATCAGGTTTGTATGTCGTTTACCTTAGTGCTTGTTTAATGTTTACTCAATGTGAATTGGAATCATGATGTGCCTAATTGGGGTTCTTAAATTCTCCTGTTGCACTTTATTGTTTATGTGTCTGTCTCAACGTGTGTCATGTTTTGCAAACTTGTAGGTAGCATGGGAACACGAACAGTTCTCAAGGTTTAGAGTGACTGCACTTACTCTTTCAGAAATGTCTACCCCTCCTGAATTTTTGGAAAGCACTGGCGGTCTTCATGACACTAGGTAAGTCACTTCCAATGCATCCTGAGTCTTTTGGGTGCAAGCACTCCAATCTATTATACTTATATGTTTCTTTCCCCTTTTTGGCAGAGAATCTACAGATGTTGAGTCAGTAATCCGAACTGTCAGATTAGTTTCTGAGAGTCTTGCGGTAAGCTAAATCATTTGCTTCTCAGTTAGTTCTTGGACATTTGTTTTTTGGTATTGATTTTTCGGTGTATGTGTCATGCGGGTGGGTTTTATGTTGTGGGCGGGGCTGAGAAGCTGGTGCAATTTGGAGAGTGTAACATCCAGTTTCATTTATATTAACATGGTTTACAGTGCACAATTTGTTGTTTGATTGTGATGAGAAGTCATTGGAGGCTTGAATCATCATACTGCTACTATCAAAATGATGATTAAAATTAAAATTTGCTGGCTGCCTCTTGCTCTTTTACAGAGACACATCTATGGATTGAAAGAAAGGAACATCGACGTTTTTGCAGAGAATAGCAGCTTAGCCATTAATCCTCACTATGTCAGGTCCTGGTTGGATCTGTTGTCACGGACACCACGAGTTGCACCTTTTCTACAGAAAAATGATCCCTTTATAGCAGCGCTCAAAAAGGTTTGGATGGTTGCTTTCTATGATTTCATCTCTCTCACCTGGTTCCTATTTTTCTGGCAAGAGATGACATTGGTATTCTGGTGCAGGAACTGTCCGAACACACTACTGATGTGCATGTCCAAAGTGATGCGCTTGATGGCATGTTCACTTTCTATGATGCAACGAAAGCAACTCTAAATGTGTACCAGGTATGTTTAAGTAACCACAAACCTATGTGCATTTTGTTCATGTTTTGGCGTCGTCGTTCAATTTCAGAATAGAATGATCTAAAAGCTTTGTAATGCTCTTATATACTGTCCTGATAAATTATGTGACGAATTAATTAATCACTATGAAAGGGTTTCCAGATTTGATCATATGAAGTTAATTTCCACTTTTCAGTTGTGCTTTTGAGACATTACCAGATTGAATCTATCTCACACGGTCATTATTCCCTAACTACCCAGGTTGCAAGTGTTACCTTTGATCTGCTGTTCCTTCTGGTGCTCGGTTCCTATCTGATCGTTCTCTTCTGTTTCCTAGTAATTACTACACGGGTATGGTTCATTTCTTTGCTTGGTTTACTTTGGATAGAACGTGAACATCTGCTTTGCCGCAACTGAGAAGTACATGTCACTTGCTTGAACAGGGTGTTGATGATCTCATTAACATATTCCGGCGGCCTCCATCACGCAAGCTCAAGGGGGCATAGGCTAGGTTATGTTTTGTGTATTAGCGCCAAGAGACGCATGCCTAGTTAGAAGAAGAGAGAGACATGAGGATGACAGGCAAGCTAGCTTCCCACAGCACATAGACATGTACTTGCAAATTTTTACTGTCCCCCCCGCACTCCGGCCAATGTGAGTGGCTTCTCAAATTCCACAGCACAAAAATACATTTTCTTCACTTTTTTGTGTGAGGAATTTCGACTGTAATTTAGCTGTATTTTGGTTACAATTTTGGCTTAATTATTCGGGTGCAATGGTGGTGGTGTCTGAGACAGAAAAGGCACGCACCACGCTGTACTCCCATCCCAGCTCTGAACTTTGGATGCTGTGAAATTCTTGTCCGAAACACTGAAGGCACTGAACTTTGGTGCCTGTGTGACCTGTAGTTTTGATTTGCTTTGTCTGGACCAGGCAGCTTTCTTAGGCTGGGCTGCAGCTTTTAAACTTTTGGTTCAATAGCTGTCTTTGTGGATTTCGGATTTTGGCTTTCGGAATAAATTTTTAGCTTCTTAGAGCGTCTTCAATAGTTGCAAAGAAAACAATAGGTAAACCAATAAGTTTTTCAAGTTGCTAAAAAAGTAGGGAGCATATTTGTTGGCTTTGTCTAATAGTTTTCAATATCTCAGCTCCTATGATTTTTTTTATTTTTAACTCTTTTTAACACTATTTTCAAATCTAACACATCTTAACTTCTTTTTTAAAACTAACCTGTTTGGCCGCGCGAGGCGTGGCAAAACCACACTGCCGCGCCATGCATGGCGGCCCAGCAAGCCTGCCACGTGGTAGTCAGCCGAGAGCTGACTCGCTGATGTGGCGTAACTTAGAAAAATTGTATTTTTTCTATACGATCTCGGATGAAGATGATCTTTATTTGAAAATTGTAGCCCTCGATGAGATCCTCGATGAGATCTACAACTTTTTAGTTTTGAGTTTTTTCATTTAAGGTTGTTAAGATGTTCAAAAAAAATAATATAAAGTTTCAGTATCGTAATAATCGCGTATTGTCTTGGAAAAATCGTATCTTTCTTTAATGGTGTTAAATGGAGATACTTTTTATACGAAAGTTGTAGATCTCAATGAGATCTGCAAATTTATAGTTTTGAGTTTTTGCATTTGAGATCATTCATTAAAATGCTCAAAAATATAAGTGCTTGTACGTGATTAATACAATGCTGAAACTTTATATTATTTTTTTAACATCTTAATGACTTTAAATGTAAAAACTCAAAACTAGAAAGTTGTAGATCTCGTTGAGTGCTACAACTTTCGTATAGAAAGTATCTCCATTTAACACCAAATAAGAAAGATACGATTTTTCCAAGGCGACAGGCGCCTGTACACGATTAATACGATGCTGAAATTTTATATTATTTTTTTGGAGCGTCTTAACGACCTTAAATGTAAAAACTCAAAACTAGAAAGTTGTAGATCTCATCGAGGGCTACAATTTTCATATAAAGATCATATTCATCCGAGATCATATAAAAAAATACAATTTTTCTAATATGCGCCATGTCAGCGATTCAACGCTCGGCTGACTGCCACGTGGCAGGCTTGTCGCACCGCCATGCATGGCGCGACAGTATGATTTTGCCGCGCCACCATGCATGGCGCAGCCAAAAAAGTTAGTTTTAAAAAAAGTTAAGACGTGTTAGATTTGAAAAAAGTGTTAAAAATAAAAAAAATCGCTCCTAAAAGCTAAATTCTAGTTCTCTCTCTATTATATATTAGCACTGGGAACATTGTCTTTTTCCTTATTCTTTCCCGTGTCATTCACACATCTAGACCGGCTGCATATATTTTTGCATGATTGGATCAATTTTCTCGAGTGTAGAAAGAAAGATTGGGAGTTGAGATAAAGTGTTGGACAGAGGTTTTTTTCAGTCTTGCCAAAAAATCAAGATTGAGAGTGGGTTCTGGAAACATTTGGAGATGCTCTTATCACACTGAAGCCAGAAAAATTGCTCGTAATAACATGCTCTTATCACACTGGGAACATTGTCTTTTCCCTTGTAGGCTAGTTTTCCAGATTTTTAAAAGGCAGCTCAAAAGCTGGGCTTAGGCCAAGTCCAGCAATCAAACACACCTGTAGCCCATTGGGAAGTGCCCGGCCTGGTCGTTGGGCTGGCTGGGCCCATCCCCACCGCGCCGCCATCGTGCTCCGATCGGCTGGAGCTGCAACCTGCAAGGTCAAGGTCAGCCGCCTGCAGATGCAGCAGATCTATCTGCTTCATCTTCGCCTAGCTTCTTCTCTTCTCTTCTCTGATCGAAAGCCGTCCTTTTTTCTACTCCTACCTTGCTTCTGGTCTGGACGATCGAATCGAGCGACGAGACGAGACGATGGGCGGCGTCTCGCGTCGGTTTCTGAATCTGATCGTGGACAAGCGCATCGCCGGACTCCAAACGCTGCGCTGCATCGACCTGGCGCGCCACAAGCTGTTCAACACAACACTACCTATGCTACCAGTGAACGCAGACTAAAATTGGGATGATTCGGCAGCTTCCTCTTCCTGCCCCAATCGTCAACTTCCAAGGTTCAGCTGAGAACTTCGATTGGTGGATGGACTGTTTCCCGCTTGGAGCAGCAGGTCGCAAGGTGCTCTGCGTCGACCAATCTTCCCGTACATTTGCTCTACGACACGGTGACACGCGAAGCAGCACTGGGCATGCCCTACATGTACAAAAAGTGCTCGCCCCTCCCCATCTTTGTGCCCGCCGCCGGTGCTGACAGTGACACCAACACCAACGACGACGATGGCGGCCATGGCAGCATCTACATCATGGAGGCCCGTCCTGCTGAAGAACGGCCTCAAGATGCCATGAAGCTAAGCTATCAGTACGAGGCTTTCATCCACCACCGCAGGGCCGGCTGCTGGGAGCGCCAACTCCTCCCGCCACCGCCATTTGTTTGTGACCCCAACGTGGCCAACCCCAGCATCACCTCACACGAGGTGGTCAACCATCCCAGCATCACCTCTCACGCGCTGGTCCATGCCCATGGCTGCTCTGGCTCTCCCGACATCTGGATATCTGCCGATGACGGCGCCGGCACCTACTGCTTGGACACGGCCAAACGCACCTGGACCAAAGTCGGCAACTGGACGCTACCCTTCGATGGAAAGGCCGAGTACGTTACCGAGCTCAAGCTGTGATTTGGTATCGTCAGCGTCGGCAAAGAGGAATGGGAACTGGGTGCTGCTGACCTCTCCTCTGCTGCCATGGTCGACATGGACTCCCAGCCACCGCTGGTAGGCACATGGAAGGAGCTTGCGGAGGAACAGACTCAGAGCTGGCTGGAGCTGCGGCGTCCTCAGTTTGTCAGCCTGGGCTCTGGCAGGTTCTGCGTCGCAAGGTTCTTCCACCATGCTACCATGCATCCCCTCGGCTACTTCTTTCATTCTCCACCTGATGAACTATTTGAGGAGGAATATTTTACTGTCTTGACTGGTGTCGATGTGGTGCCGCGCGACCACACCGATAGTAATGCTACCTACACCAATTGCAATGGCAGCAATGGCTTCAAAGTGCAACTGGAAATGATCAAGCACAATTCAAGACGCCACATGTCTTATGGCAGCGACGGTACCATTGATCTTGTGTTCTGATTTTCTGAATAAGTTTGGTTCCAGACCCCGGCCTTGTATTATCTTATCCATCATTATCATTACTCTACTTCTTCTGGATGAACCAGGTGTCGATCTTGTCCTAGTTTCAGTACTTAGTGTCATCAAAGTCCAGTGTTATTTGTTCAGTTCTACTACATATGAATATGAACGGTGGTTTAATTTTGTCTCTCGGAATGAATGGTACATTCTGAGTTATCTTAATTTAGCTCTATCATTAATAATGTTGGGATATTGAGGTCTCATGTGCATCTTAGCATAGCATTTTTGTGGGCTGCTTACTTGCCGTCGACCTAAAAAACATCCACTTTGTTAGATAATAACTCCGGTGCAACCTTGTGTGGTGCACCGGAGAGCTCCATTGAGCTTTTTCAACCTTTTGGCCACCTCCAAAACCGGCTCTGCTAGATAGAGATACAGTAATGCTCCCTACAGGGCATCCATCCGGACGGACCCTGCCGTGCTGCGCGCCACGCGTCCCGTCTGCATCGCGTCCCGCTCATGGTCCCCGCCTCTTTCCTCGTCCCCACACGGCCACGCACGCAGTAAACACGGGCAGGCTTTGCCCCACGTGAAATCCTTCCATCCACATGTAACGCAATAAGCATGCCGTTATTTTTTTAAGGATGCATGTGGCTAGTTGTGTGTGTGCATGCATGCATATTAAAATGAAAACTATTGTGTGCCCACGTGAGCTCAGCACCGGCGACCTCCGCATCACTTCATGGCATTTACCTTCGTGTTGGCGTTGAGCTCCATATGTTTTATGCGTTTTAGATGTATTTTTCATCTGGATATTGCAGCATGTGTTTTATCTGGATGTTGCAAAATTAGATCTTGTGTTGCATATGTTGCAATTGCTATACACGTATGTTGCAAGTGTATATTTGGAATGTTTCAGGTGTTTCAGATGTATATTGCAAGTGTTTTTATCTAGATGTTGCATATGTTGAAGAGACGTTGCAAGCGTATGTAATATTTCACCTGTTTTAGATGTATGTTACAACAAGTGCTTCATGTTGCAAGTGTTTTCATTAGCACGTGGGAAGCGGACGCATGAGGAGTGTTTAATCTGGATGTTGCATATGTTGCAATGGCTACAGACGTATGTTGCAAGTGTATGTTTTAGCTGTTTTGAACGTATGTTACAAGTGTTTTATTTGGATGTTACATATGTTGCAGTGGCCATACACATATATTGCAAGCGTATGTTTTAAATGTTTCACATGTTTCAGATGTATGTTGTAGCAAGTGCTTCATGTTGCAAGTTTTTCATTAGCAGGCACGGGAAGCAGGTGCATGGGAGGCGGTCCTCGCAGGCGCAGGCGGTCTCTGTGTGCAGGGGAAGTGAAGCGGGGGTG